GTAGAACATTGAACTGGGTCCTGCTAAAAGATCAATCAATCAACTGTCACAGCATAACTAATTTTTGCTTGGGAGTAGAGTTACCTTGTACGTCACATCTTGTTCCCAAGTTTGTTTCTGTATGGGACCTGTCAGGCATATAAGATTTTTCACCTGGCTCAAAAGGAAAACAATTGACAATTTTAAAAAACAATTAAAAAAAACCAATTTCCTAATATGCAAGAAGTTTCAGTCACATGACCAAATAAGCTCTGAATAAGAAGCAAGATAAGCTCAGTCTGCCGCTTGAGGCAGTAACATTTTTCTTTCCATAGCTGATGACCCTGTAACATATTGGGGAATTACATAAATGATAAATCAGGAGAAGAAAAGAAATAGGAGACTCTTCATGGGTAAGTGTTTAGAAAGGATACAGTATGAAAACTGATCATCAGCAGAAGGAATACATCCTACTTCTGCTTGTTTCTAGGCCACGTGTCTTAACTTTCTTCACCAACAGTAAATCTACTACATGTATTGTATGGTCAGTCAAATAAAAAATGTACATGGGTTTTCTTGTGACATTTTCACCTGAAAACTTATGTGAGATCTGTACTGATGAGTGAATAATTCAGAACAATGTATTTGACAAACTTTGTATCTTTTTCCCAGAAATTTTCTGACTGTCCAAACATTCTAAATTCTTCACTGATTACTTCAGTGAATATTTCTTGATCTGCAGATCCTTCACAAACATCCCCTTGTGGACATTTTTATTCAAAATTTGTGGTTACACAAGTCACATGACATTGCATCTGAAAATGCTTGTAGTGAAAACAAAATGTGAATCTGGTGCAAAGTCTCTTGCATTTCATCCAAAAAAAATTGCAAGAGCATAGAATATGTAGTTTAAGGGGATTTTTCCACTAACCAAGAGACATCACCCTTTTGCTCCAGTGTAAAGAAAGGCACAGGCACAGATATTTTTTCTTTAAAAAAAACAACAACATATATTCATTCTCTAGACAAACTCACAGTTAAGTCACCTCTCCCTGTATTGTAATTGTCCGATACTTTGCCGAACTAGTGTGCCCAAAATATTTTTCCACCTTATGATTTTGTCAGGTTTTGCAGTGTGCCATTACATCTACCCACCACCATTGCTACATCTTCAATAAACTTTGCTTAAACAAATTGTATGACAAATTTCAGATTTAACTAGCGGAATTGTTTCTAACCTGACCTTCACTACTAAAGTCTATTTGTAATACATTTATAATTTGGTTACAAAGAAAAGCAAGGAGCCAGCAGGATGGGCCAACTAAACCTTTTCTGTTCTTATGGTTTGTCTGATAAATACAATAAAATGTATTATTATAAACATGGCTCATGACATCTTATGTCATTTTGAAGTGTATTTAATGGCTTAAAAGAAGCTTCCAAATGGGTATACTCATTTACAGTAAATGTCCACTATAGGTCACATGCACATTAGACAGAGCACATTTATGAGCTTGCAGTTGCTTTTTAAAACAAACAAACAAAAATATATAAATCTTAATACTCTCAGTTCTAATGTATGGATATGAGTCATTAATCACCCCTACAAACATATTTAGGGTGTAAACCTGTATGTTCTCTAAAAATGAAAAGCAAACAAATACTTTTGACTCCTATAGGTATCTGTATGGTCTCTAGTACTCCTTACGAGGATAGGTTTTTAAATGTTGGTTGTATTTTCCTGGAGATAAACATGACGGTTATAGCCTGACATTTGGTAAAGAAGTCACAGGACGTTTGCTTTTGATGCTTCATTGTAGAATTATTGCATACACAGTCAAATATTAATATAGGGCAAACCAATAGAGTACTGAGCAAAATATTTGGTGATATATATTTTAATACACAAACTAAGACCAGGGGGTTACATATGTATGTAAAGTTAATGATGTCAATAAATGGATCAAGAAAGAAAACTGTAGAATTCTCCCCTCCCCCCCCCCCACTCTCTGCATTGTAGTGAAATGCAGCTTTGCATCTGCACCGTGTAATGGTTGCCTCAGTTTCACTATAACCATGCCATTTCACAACTCAGTGGCCACATTTTATTTAGCTTTCTTTTAATAAACCAGGATCTGCTATGACCACACTACCATCAACTAGCAAATTGTTTGCACAGATCCAAAATTTTGAGAATAAGATTTTTTAAAGCTTACATGAGGAACTATTTCTTATAGAAGCTTACAATTTTGAAACATCAGCCTTAAGTCCCCAATTTTGCTTTCACGAAAATCAGAGAAAAAATTCCCATTGATTTCAATAGTGCATGAACAGGCCTTTTAACAATGGTGTCCCATAATTTAAAGGATACTCCTCCATTTATCTTCTTGTTTTGCTAGCCTTCACTAGCCTGATGTGTGGAAAATTAGCTGCAATACTAGAAACACTTCTTTTTCTATAAAAATGTGATTGATGTGATTTTATTTGACATGAACTAAAATGGTACCATGAAAAGACCCTGGAATTCTATGTATATATATTTAGATTCATAAAATGTACGTACAGAACAAGCTGTAAGCAAATATTTACCATTTGTGGTTGAGGGTATCAAAGACTGCAAAAAGAGTTGGTAAGGACACCTGATTTTTATAGTTCACTAAGGGTATGTCTACACTACGGAATAAGGTCGAATTTATAGAAGTCGGTTTTTTAGAAATCGGTTTTATATATTCGAGTGTGTGTGTCCCCACAGAAAATGCTCTAAGTGCATTAAGTGCATTAACTCGGCGGAGCGCTTCCACAGTACCGAGGCTAGAGTCGACTTCCGGAGCGTTGCACTGTGGGTAGCTATCCCACAGTTCCCGCAGTCTCCGCTGCCCATTGGAATTCTGGGTTGAGATCCCAATGCCTGATGGGGCTAAAACATTGTCGCGGGTGGTTCTGGGTACATATCGTCAGGCCCCCGTTCCCTCCCTCCCTCCGTGAAAGCAAGGGCAGACAATCATTTCGCGCCTTTTTTCCTGAGTTACCTGTGCAGACGCCATACCACGGCAAGCATGGAGCCCGCTCAGGTAACCGTCACCCTATGTCTCCTGGGTGCTGGCAGAAGCGGTACGGCATTGCTACACAGTAGCAGCAACCCCTTGCCTTGTGGCAGCAGATGGTACAGTACGACTGGTAGCCGTCATCGTCATGTCCGAGGTGCTCCTGGCCACGTCGGCTGGGAGCGCCTGGGCAGACATGGGCGCAGGGACTAAATTTGGAGTGACTTGACCAGGTCATTCTCTTTAGTCCTGCAGTCAGTCCTATTGAACCGTCTTATGGTGAGCGGGCAGGCGATACGGACTGCTAGCAGTCGTACTGTACCATCTTCTGCCAGGCAGGCAAGAGATGAGGATTGCTAGTAGTCGTACTGTACCATCTTCTGCCGAGCAGCCATGAGATGTGGGTGGCATGCAGTCCTTCTGCACCGTCTGCTGCCAGCCAAAGATGTAAAAGATAGATGGAGTGGGTCAAAACAAGAAATAGACCAGATTTGTTTTGTACTCATTTGCCTCCTCCCCTGTCTAGGGGACTCATTCCTCTAGGTCACACTGCAGTCACTCACAGAGAAGGTGCAGCGAGGTAAATCTAGCCATGTATCAATCAGAGGCCAGCCTAACCTCCTTGTTCCAATAAGAACGATAACTTAGGTGCACCATTTCTTATTGGAACCCTCCGTGAAGTTCTGCCTGAAATACTCCTTGATGTAAAGACACCCCCTTTGTTGATTTTAGCTCCCTGAAGCCAACCCTGTAAGCCGTGTCGTCAGTCACCCCTCCCTCTGTCAGAGCAACGGCAGACAATCGTTCCGCGCCTTTTTTCTGTGCGGATGCCATACCAAGGCACGCATGGAGGCCGCTCAGCTCACTTTGGCAATTAGGAGCACATTAAACACCACACGCATTATCCAGCAGTATATGCAGCACCAGAACCTGGCAAAGCGATACCGGGCGAGGAGGCGACGTCAGCGCGGTCACGTGAGTGATCAGGACATGGACACAGTTTTCTCTGAAAGCATGGGCCCTGACAATGCATGCATCATGGTGCTAATGGGGCAGGTTCATGCTGTGGAACACCGATTCTGGGCTCGGGAAACAAGCACAGACTGGTGGGACCGCATAGTGTTGCAGGTCTGGGACGATTCCCAGTGGCTGCGAAACTTTCGCATGCGTAAGGGCACTTTCATGGAACTTTGTGACTTGCTTTCCCCTGCCCTGAGGCGCATGAATACCAAGATGAGAGCAGCCCTCACAGTTGAGAAGCGAGTGGCGATAGCCCTGTGGAAGCTTGCAACGCCAGACAGCTACCGGTCAGTTGGGAATCAATTTGGAGTGGGCAAATCTACTGTGGGGGCTGCTGTGATGCAAGTAGCCCACGCAATCAAAGATCTGCTGATATCAAGGGTAGTGACCCTGGGAAATGTGCAGGTCATAATGGATGGCTTTGCTGCAATGGGATTCCCTAACTGTGGTGGGGCCATAGACGGAACCCATATCCCTATCTTGGCACCGGAGCACCAAGCCGCCGAGTACATAAACCGCAAGGGGTACTTTTCGATAGTGCTGCAAGCTCTGGTGGATCACAAGGGACGTTTCACCAACATCAACGTGGGATGGCCGGGAAAGGTGCATGATGCTCGCATCTTCAGGAACTCTGGTCTGTTTCAAAAGCTGCAGGAAGGGACTTTATTCCCAGACCAGAAAATAACTGTTGGGGATGTTGAAATGCCTATATGTATCCTTGGGGACCCAGCCTACCCCTTAATGCCATGGCTCATGAAGCCCCCCTACACAGGCAGCCTGGACAGTAGTCAGGAGCTGTTCAACTACAGGCTGAGCAAGTGCAGAATGGTGGTAGAATGTGCATTTGGACGTTTAAAGGCGCGCTGGCGCAGTTTACTGACTCGCTTAGACCTCAGTGAAACCAATATTCCCACTGTTATTACTGCTTGCTGTGTGCTCCACAATATCTGTGAGAGTAAGGGGGAGACGTTTATGGCGGGGTGGGAGGTTGAGGCAAATCGCCTGGCTGCTGGTTACGCGCAGCCAGACACCAGGGCGGTTAGAAGAGCACAGGAGGGCGCGGTACGCATCAGAGAAGCTTTGAAAACCAGTTTCATGACTGGACAGGCTACGGTGTGAAAGTTCTGTTTGTTTCTCCTTGATGAAACCCCCCGCCCCTTGGTTCACTCTACTTCCCTGTAAGCTAACCACCCGCCCCTCCTCCCTTCAATCACCGCTTGCAGAGGCAATAAAGTCATTGTTGCTTCACATTCATGCATTCTTTATTCATTCATCACACAAACAGGGGGATGACTACCAAGGTAGCCCAGGAGGGGTGGTGGAGGAGGGAAGGAAAATGCCACACAGCACTTTAAGCACAGCACTTTAAAAATTTACAACTTTAAAATTTATTGAATGACAGCCTTCTTTCTTTTGGGCAATCCTCTGTGGTGGAGTGGCTAGTTGGCCGGAGGCCCCCCCCCACCGCATTCTTGGGCGTCTGGGTGTGGAGGCTATGGAACTTGGGGAGGAGGGCGGTTGGTTACAGAGGGGCTGCAGTGGCAGTCTGTGCTCCAGCTGCCTTTGCTGCAGCTCAACCATACACTGGAGCATACTGGTTTGGTCCTGCAGCAGCCTCAGCATTCAATCCTGCCTCCTCTCATCACGCTGCCGCCACATTTGAGCTTCAGCCCTGTCTTCAGCCTGCCACTTACTCTCTTCAGCCCGCCACCTCTCCTCCCGGTCATTTTGTGCTTTCCTGCACTCTGACATTATTTGCCTCCAAGCATTCGTCTGTGCTCTGTCAGTGTGGGAGGACAGCATGAGCTCGGAGAAAATTTCATCGCGAGTGCGTTTTTTTTTCTTTCTAAGCTTCACTAGCCTCTGGGAAGGAGAAGATCCTGTGATCATTGAAACACATGCAGCTGGTGGAGAAAAAAAAAGGGACAGCGGTATTTAAAAAGACACATTTTATAAAACAGTGGCTACACTCTTTCAGGGTAAACCTTGCTGTTAACATTACATACATAGCACATGTGCTTTCGTTACAAGGTCGCATTTTGCCTCCTCCCACCGCGTGACTACCCCCTCAACCTTCCCCCCTCCCTGTGGCTAACAGCGGGGAACATTTCTGTTTAGCCACAGGCAAACAGCCCAGCAGGAATGGGCTCCTCTGAGTGTCCCCTGAAGAAAAGCACTCTATTTCAACCAGGTGACCATGAATTATATCTCACTCTCCTGAGGATAACACAGAGAGATAAAGAACGGATGTTTGAATGCCAGCAAACATACATTACAATGCTTTGTTCTACAATGATTCCCAAGTACGTGTTACTGGCCTGGAGTGGTAAAGTGTCCTACCATGAAGGACGCAATAAGGCTGCCCTCCCCAGAAACCTTTTGCAAAGGCTTTAGGACTACATCTAGGAGAACCGCAAATGCCAGGGCAAAGTAATCCTTTCACATGCTTGCTTTTAAACCATGTATAGTATTTTAAAAGGTACACTCACCAGAGGTCCCTTCTCCGCCTGCTGGGTCCAGGAGGCAGCCTTGGGTGGGTTCGGGGGGTACTGGCTCCAGGTCTAGGGTGAGAAACAGTTCCTGGCTGTCGGGAAAACCAGTTTCTCTGCTTGCTTGCTGTGAGCTATCTACAACCTCCTCCTCATCATCATCTTCTTCGTCCCCAAAACCTGCTTCCGTATTGCCTCCATCTCCATTGAAGGAGTCAAACAAAACGGCTGGGGTAGTGGTGGCTGAACCCCCTAAAATGGCATGCAGCTCATCATAGAAGCGGCATGTTTGGGGCTCTGACCCAGAGCGGCTGTTCGCCTCTCTGGTTTTCTGGTAGGCTTGCCTCAGCTCCTTCAGTTTCACGCGGCACTGCTTCGGGTCCCTGTTATGGCCTCTGTCCTTCATGCCCTGGGAGATTTTCACAAAGGTTTTGGCATTTCGAAAACTGGAACGGAGTTCTGATAGCACGGATTCCTCTCCCCAAACAGCGATCAGATCCCGTACCTCCCGTTCGGTCCATGCTGGAGCTCTTTTGCGATTCTGGGACTCCATCATGGTCACCTGTGCTGATGAGCTCTGCATGGTCACCTGCAGCTTGCCACGCTGGCCAAACAGGAAATGAGATTCAAAAGTTCACGGTTCTTTTCCTGTCTACCTGGCCAGTGCATCTGAGTTGAGAGTGTTGTCCAGAGCGGTCATAATGGAGCACTCTGGGATAGCTCCCGGAGGCCAATACCATCGAATTGTGTCCACAGTACCCCAAATTCGAGCCGGCAACGTCGATTTAAGCGCTAATCCACTTGTCAGGGGTGGAGTAAGGAAATCGATTTTAAGAGCCCTTTAAGTCGAAATAAAGGGCTTCATTGTGTGGACGGGTGCAGGTTTACATCGATTTAACGCTGCTAAATTCGACCTAAAGTCCTAGTGTAGACCAGGGCTAATAGGAGTGTATCAACCAATAGGATTTAACACAGTCCATGGACTACTCCAAGGCAAAAAACTGAAGGGAGTCAAGGGAGACAAAAGACTTCAGATAACAGAGTTACCTTGCCATAAACATTTCAATAATCCTACACAAAAATGGGAGGTTAGAAAAAAGTTGATAGTGTTAATACTGACAAGTGTCATTCTCTTGACAATATCCACCAACAGATAAACTAATAGTTTCTCACTAGATTTCAGGTCCAATTCATACACTGAAGATATACAATCTCCTCTAACAAACCCAGAAAAGTGGTAAGCAAAATAAGCCCAAACTATTTTTAAAGGACTTTTTTTGCAGGGGAAAGGAGAGAACTATTTACAAACATCTGATCTTGATCTGTTAACATTTCTTTGAGTGAAGGACTAAGGTTAATGGGTGGGGGGGGGGAGAATGTGTTTCAAACATGGATTTAAAGAAAGAAATGTGGTAGACATACCTAGCTTAATGAAAAAGCTAATTTATTCTGAGTGAGAGAAAGACTGAATTTGGGGAGGCCTCTTACAGTCACTAAGAAGAGAAAAAGGTTATTTGGTTTATAAAATAAACAGCAATTCAGAAAGGTCTACGCTGATCTAAATGCGCTACAGATACTCTGAAGCAGCAGTTCCTTATTAAAACTGGAATGTGTTTGGTTTCAATGTATAATCCAATTTTGCTGTTTTGGTATGATTATGGATTGTATTGTTCATATTTTTGTTCATACTGTTTTCTTTTGGGCTTTATTGCTCCACTGTGTTTACAAAACAGTCTTTCCTTTTATTCAGTCAAAATAAGTTGCTTCTAGGACATATTTTTACTTTAAGATTGATCCAGTGCAAGTTTCCTATCTTTGCTATGACTAAGTTGGAAACATGTTCCAGCATTGTTGATAGGGAACAAATAAAGGTCAAGAGAACAGCAACAGCCTCGATCTAAAACTCTTGAATTAAATCTTACATGGATCATGTTCCTCATTAGTTTCTCATACCATTTTATTGCTCAACATTTCAATTATTTGAAAAGAATATTTGTGGTTTAAAAAATACCAAACAGTTCTTCAGAAAAGGAAGAGGTGTACTTTTAGCAGAACTATTGCTCTGTATGTATCTTGTCACTTATACCTTTATTCAACAATATACAGGACCAATTTTTTAAAGATGCATAATTTAAACCAGGTTTTCGTATTAGCTGCTGTTAAAGAGTTCTTTGGTGCACACACACGGTAACTGTACATCCAAGCTTCATTCTCACCAGGAATTTCCTGTAGCCTCAGAATGTTCTTCATTCCCAGAATACTTGGCAGAAATAGGCCACATCCCTCAGACTTAAATCTATAGCAGTTATCTTCCTCATTTTTCAAACATTTTAGTTTCATTTTAGCATTTCTCCACCAATTGGAATTTTTTCAGGGTATGCTAACAAACAACTTACTCCTGACTTTCTGCTCTAATCCTCTCATCTCTCTTCTCCATCTTGAATAATTTTTATTTTTTTCCTTCACCCACTCTTCTGACATCCCTAATGCTCTTTCATGCCAGCCCCTATGCTTGGAACACCCTCCCACTCCCTCTCTTCCTTCAATTCCACTTCTTTCTAAAAATCAACCAGTGTTGATCTCTTTACTGACTGTGCCTTAACACTCATCCTGTTTATCATGTGTTTGATCTAGACTGTAAGCTCTTTTGGACAAGGGTTTTGCAGTTTGCAAAGCAATGTGGCCAAAATTTTGAAGCTTGGGTGTCTAAAGTTAAGCAGCTAAATCTATATCAAACAGTCTAAACAAGTGGCTTGATTTAAAGAAGTACTGAGCATCCACAGCTCCCAGTGACATCAGTGGCCATTATAGTCAATAAAACACTTCTGAAAATAAGAGTACTCATTCAGGGGCCTAAATATAGATTTGTCATTCTTTAGGCACCCTGGTTAGAAAATTTGTTTGGGCTTCTTATTATGGTTCACTGCTCCAAAATCCATCCAGTAGGATTAGACCCTATCAGACTTATTTCCATAACAACATTTGATGCACTCTCTAGAACACGAGAGGGGGAGGGGGAAAATCAGTGAAGAAATTTATACATCAGATCTCCCATAAACTGATGGAGAAGATACTGAAGAAGGGAAAGATGGATCAGGAAGTGGTGCCCAGGTATAAGAATCAGGCTCAGACAAAGATCAACTCACAAAGTCATTCACAGAAAGAATGTACTGTTATCTTCAGGGAGTGGAGCACTTTGTAGTGGGTTGTTGGGGAAATATTGCTGCGAAGGACAGATTTCAATCTCCCCCACAGCAGATTGAAATCTGCACCAGCTGTCTCATAAGGTGTCTGCTGCTACGCTGTCATGAACACAGGCTTATGACTGGTAGAATCAAGCAAACGGTATGCTGAGTTATATGGGGAAAATATGTATCCCAACAAAATTATCTGACATAATAGCAAAGGAAATTGAGAAAATGACTTAAGAGTGGGTTTCATACAAATATATATATATTTTTAATTTGATCCTGTTGTGAAACAGCTCTTTAAAAATGAAACAATCTGAAACCTATTAGAGAATTTATGTTCCTGCAACAGATGTCCCTGGAGATAGTGACAAATTCATTATACAAATAAAATCCCACTGATGAATTTGCTCTCTCCCCAATGAAACTGTAAGCAACAGAGTCCTTTTTTTCCCCTTGTAAGAATGCTCTCATCTTAGAAGTCACACACACTAACTTTTAGAGCTCTGCACTGGAGTTCACGAATATTGTAGCTGAAAATACAATGCCCTATTGATAGCCCAATCAGATGTGCTTCCATGAGTTAAACCCTTCCAGATCTAGTCGCTTAAAAGAATTATCTTCTTTAGAACCATAAACCTGAAACTCTCTGCTCAGCACAGTTGCAATTCCTGATCCAACCAGTGACCGTGGGAATTAAAATGTGATTTCTGAAAAACAGCATGCTCTGCATAGAAACCTTCTTGGCATCATGCTTATCTGAAACATTATACTTGACTGATACTGTAAATCAGGATGGTTTTCCCCAAGACAGTATCTCAAAAATTACAGGCTATGTTACTTGAAAACTTGGGAATGATACTTCACTTTAGAATAGGTTAATAATATGTACACTATAATAACATGGAAAAAAACTCAAAGAAAAGGAACATTTTATGCTAAATGGCTTTGCTTACAAGTGGATTCATGCTCTATTTTTACTGGAACTTTGCAACATTTTGTGAAGCCACTAATAAACCTGTTCATTATAATCTAGGAAATGTGTGGAAAGAGACCTCTTTATCCAAGGCAGGGTTCAGTCAGTGTTCTTGGAATATTTATTTAGCCCACACACAGAGAGATTGTTAACATTTGCCAAAGAATGTAGCTTTATACGGTAACTAGGTCAAACAGACAGCATATCAACTTTCAAAAAGTTAAAAATAATGCAAAAATGTTTAAGTTACGTGGACAAGACCTTGTCAGCTTTTAATTTAAATGGCTGCTGGAAACACTTTACAAAATTGTACTTCATGAACTTTGAAAATATAGATATTGCTAAGGCTGTCTTGCAAAGCAGCTAATTAAATAAAATTGGAGTTGACCTCTGCATGATTAATTCTCACTCAGTTAAAAACTATAAAGAGGTTACAGGCAATGAGCCTAATAGTCAAACTGTGGGTAGCTCTGAAGCTGCAGTGCCAGATTTTCAAAAGAGCAGAGCACATAACATCTCCTCCTTTGGAACCTAAACAAAATGGTCAGATTTTCAAGAGGGCTCAGCTCATCCCCAAACTTTCTAACAGACTTTATGTAACAAACTCCACAGATAGTGGGCATCTATATTATGGATCTCTTAAGAGTATATTATTTAACGTGTATATGCACTATGGCATATTCTTCAAAAATTGTACAAATGTGAATTAATTAATTCTCTGTATTAGCTATAGGTTCTGAAGTGTTTTTGTCATTATTTAACCAAACCAGAAATACTTGCAAGCTGCTGATGAATAAAACTGAGCGCAGGATTTTCAAAGGCACTTAAGTAACTCGGGAGCACAAGAAAAAGAAGAGGTAGACAAGACCTGAAGGGGAGAAGATTGAGGGAGACAGAACAGAGGGGTCTGTAAGATCGAGGGAGATAGAACAGAGGGTCTGTAACCACTAGAGCACATTCACCCTTCAGAACTTGAAATCGAACTCAGGATTTCTGAGTCACAACATTCCTCTGCTGTCACAAAATGGATGGGAAACTTGTTGGCAGATTGGCTCTGGCCAGGTCTACATTGCAAAGTTCGGTCGAAAGTTACTGTCAAAAGTTACGCTCAGGCACATGCACACTTAGCTGCTTGCATTCTCACAAGAATGCTTGTGTTGATGTATAGCACAGTGCACCACGGGTAGGTATCCTAGCGTGTCCTGTGCTGCCAAGCTGTTCAATGCTTTCTGGAACATTTTTGCAATGGTTTGTGGGATAGTAGCGATTAACCTAAGGATTTCAGGGAGCTAGAGGTCAAGTTCCCAACATGCCACTTTCTCCAACCCATAACATTGCCACATGCCATAATTTTTTGCATGGTTTCCTTTCGACTCGCCCTTTATCTGACAGAAGCACAGACGCTGCAAAACTCAGCACAATCCCCATGTGCTTTACTGATGCAGGATGCATGATTCTCCGGTATTTGCAAAGCTTGAGTGAGTACTGCTCCAATCAGGATTGCGATGAGACAGATGCAGAGATATTTGAGCACCATAACTGGATGCTGATGAACATAGCAAATAAATAATAAAATAAAAAAATATTTCAAGTTGCTCCTGGCATTCCTGAAGCACTCCACATAGTGGAGCACTGCTTTTAGGCTTAAAAAAAAAAAAAAGCACAGGTTGCTGCGATCACATCATCATGCAGGTTTGGGATGATAAGCAGTGGCATGAGAACTTTTAGATGTGAAAGGCCACATTCCTGGAGATGTGCGCTGAGCTCACCCTAGTCCAACACAGTGACACTAAAATGAGAGCTGTACCTAACTAGAAGGAACACTCTGGAAA